CCACCCCACCCCCGCCGCCCCACTGCCGCCGCACGCTGCCGCCGCTCTGGCAAGCGCGCGCCACGGCAAGCTGCGAGTGCTGCGCGCGTGCCCCAACTGCGGCCAGATGAACCATATCAGACAGAACAAGTGCTCCAGGTGCGATGCACCGAAGGAACCTTCGAAGAAGAAGGCGAAGCGTCAATGAAAAGTGGACCCTCCCTGCTGTGTCCTTTTGCAAGTAAAAAGTCTTTTTGTACAATACACTATCATACTGTACCTCTTGCACCTCACACCACATTATTTGCATCTCACATTTCAGTGCTCACCACTGTAAAAAAATTTCCGTCCCTCCTCTCCTCTGTCCCACTGCGTGCCACACATGTCGCTGTACAATTATACCTTCGCTTTACTGGTCAAAGTGCTGCTCCAAAGTCATAGCAGTGCCATGTCAGAGAACGGATACCAACTCTGCGTTGTGAATACTGACGTGCACTACTCTACTGCCGTTCAAACAACATTCAACTTACTTCACTCGCTCTCGTATCACACCCACCCACGCATCATCTGCCGTGCCCGTGCATGGTACAAAAATAACTCTTCAGACTTAACACATTTGTCCAGCGGATTCGATATCCCTCTTTTCTTATTCTTTTTAAACCTCATTTCTATAGAGACAATCTACGTTCGGAACAATTGTGTTCAACCAAGTCTTGGAAAGACAAAAGAAAACACCATTAATGCGTCGACGTTACAGCATCATAAAATTACTATACTATCACTGTGGCAACACATCTCGGCAACTATTACACAACTACCGAATGCTGACACACACACACACTCCTTCCCGTCAAAATAGAAATGTCTGTACCGCATGCACATCTCTTCTATATATTAAATCAAGATCTGAATATTTCAGTGCCTCTATACCAACAGATACAATGAAAGACATTAATTGGCCCAACTCAATGGAACAACGCAGCAAACCTATATTCTTGTAACATCTACCTTTACAGCAAATCCAGGTATCTCATCATCAATGTCGTTTGAATCGTTCTATACTGTACAGACCATACTGTCTATTCCAACACTTTAGAAGAGAGCTTTGCAGGAAAATAATAAAAATGCGTTTAAACTAAAAAAAAAAAGAAGGTGGGCATCCCTGAGTCGCCCAATTCTAACCTGCGGTTGCGACCCGCCACCTAGAATCGAACCCACTGACTCAGGGGCAGTGGTTTGTATGACCCAGCACGCCATAACCACTGAGCTAAGATGCCTCGACGCTGTTGACAAAATCACATTCCGAATCGTATTTAAAGTCGCACCATCGCTTCCAGATGAGAATAAAGAGCGATGAATTGTCCGAGGTACTTTTTTAAAATGCATTTGAGAGAAAAATGACATTGCTACTGCTTTCAAGTGAATCATAAAGTTCAAATACTCTAGTTGATAAAACTACTGACAAAATGGCAATCCGGTGTCTTGGTGATCAACGACCTCAACTGAGATCACTTTTTCAACCTCCTATATCTCCAATTAAATTTGCTCCATATAAATAGTAAAACACATTTGCCAGTGACGGTCAAAAATTTCCCAGTGTGTGGCCTACTCGTTCTTCACATATATTTTGAGTTAGGTTTTTGCGATCAGTCACCTTTTCTAGTCTTTGAAACCCTTTGATTCTTTTGGTATCTTTGAAACTAAACACCAATTTTAAAAACCCAGCTCAAAGTTTATAAACTTTATTGCATTCTTTGTCTTTTATGCTACAAAAATTATTTTCTGTTACTCTGCAAGGTTTTGTTGCCAAGAATTTGGATTACAAGTGGTCTAACAATTAAACTTCTAAATTAGTAGATAAAACTGACTGTTTCTGGCACTGAGACGGCCGACCTCAATTGAGGCATACTGAGGCCCTCTAGTGTGTATCCGACCGTTAGTACTCATATGAGGACAAAAATTGTTTTATTTTTTCTAGACAACCCAGCTCGCGATTTCACTTCTGTTTTTTGAAACCAGAGGGCCATTACCACAGGTAAAGCATTTGCTTGTCGATTCTAGCGAAAACAAACTTGTTGATGCAAACAAAGGTGTACAAAAGAATATATTGGCCAACAGGAAGTATTTTTCCTTAAGCTAATTTTTGTACCAGTAGCATAGAAACATGGGCTTAAGTGCTTCCTGTTCGGTTCTAACTTCAGAAAAAAATTAAACCAGTCAATCTACAAAGGAAAAATAGAAACCGTGGCCATCAAAGTTGAAAAGAAATAAAATTCGCAGCTTTTTATGCTGTGATAACTCTTGGTCGGATAGTCACTAGACATCAGTTATTCTGCACGCAAGCGTCTCTAGACCCATTTCAAAGAAGAAATCAGATCGGATAAAAAGCCATTCCCATATACAGTATCATGTTACAGTGGGGTGACCAAAAATCTCTGCTATTATTAAAAAAGGGCTTAGCTTTAACGTGCCTCTTGTGTCTAGATGACATCTGGCCAAATATGTGGTTAAAGGACCGTCATGAGGATACGTTTCTACTTACTTTTTCTGGACTTGTGTTTATTCACAATAAGAAGACCATGGATACCTTTCGCCATCACACTTGACCTCTGCATCGCAGAAGGAGACCTTTTTGGTGATAAATTCACGTACTTTCCGGTTGTTTTTAGAAATGCCTGGCACGGAAAATTTTTGAGCATCATTGAAACAATTTGGTTTGATAACTTCGAAACCAAACCGCCCGTTTAAGGAAGAAACCTGAAACTCAAACACCATAAGATTCTTAATTCTTCAGTGTGTTCAAAACTGATATCCTGATGTTCTGCGAGTTGTCATGGCCGAGGCAAGTTTGTTAAAAAAAGGTTGTTAAAATGAGTTTCCAAAGTTTATATTTAATATATTTAGGCACAAAAAGCTGGCCTCATATGAGGCAAATCGCCTGTCGTCTAGTGCCTATCCGACCAAGCGTTATCATAGCATAAAAAGCTGCGAATTTTATTTCTTTTCAACTTTGATGGCCACGGTTTCCATTTTTCATTGGTAGATTGACTGGGTTTTGTACATTTTTCTAAATTAGAACCGAATAAAAAAGCACTCTACGCAATGTCTTTATGCCCTTTTTAAAATTAGCTTTAAGAAAAATGATTACTGTAAGCCGATCTTTTCATTGAACACCTTTATGTGCAACAGCGAGTTCGTGTTCGCTAGAATCGACGAGCAAATTGTTTTATCTGCGGTGATAGCCTTCTAGTTTCAAAAACAGAAGAGATCTAGCGGTTTGCCTTGTCTAGAAAACATAAAATAACTTTTGTCCTCATATGGGGACTAACGGTCTGATAGACACTAGCCAGAGAGACACCTGCATCTCGAACGCCGTTCATGATTTAAAGCAGAGCAGATTTCTGGCAGGACGAAGTAGGAAGTTCGAAAATTATCCAAGAAGATGGAAATGGAAGGTGGAAAGCTTTCAAGGATTGTTTTTTTTCTTCTTTTTCGGAAGACAACAATGAAAACTGAGCAGAATGCTGCCGCAGAATTTACGCTTTGGACTGCGCATGTTTTTTTTTTGCTCTCAGCAACAGCCCTGCATTTTTCCTTCTTGGACCACTGCAAGCCCAATAGAAGGATCAGAATGTAATGTGACGGACAACAGTGTCGTGCCCACTACACGTAGTGCTACGCTTGGAAGTTTGGCTGGTATTATACTGGAACTGCCAAATAGAAACTGCAGGGAATAACGAACGCCATCAACTGCTGTACATGCCTGGATACAGGATACCAAGAATGTTTACACGCACGTAAACATATAACTCGGGGCCTTGACACAATCGCAGCATTTTTTCATACTCCCACGACCGAAAACGTGTTCGAACCCTGCGTGTGAAACGTCTACCAGTGGTTGATGAAACAGCGTGTTCCAAGACGTTTGACAAGAGCGCCTCTCGTTGGTAGATTCGCGCATCATGGTATCGGAACCACTTTGCTGCTTGCCCGAGAAAAAAAGAGTGCATGACACGATCGAAAAGTGTGATATGGCGGACGCAGAGTGCTGTCCCAGAGGCAGGCACTGGTCAGCAGACCCCGTCAGCAGCTTGTGGAAGTTTTGGCCGTTGCCCTCGGTATGATACAGGCACGTCATGGGCGTGACAAGATCATAATACTGCACTTTGATTCGATGACCGCATGCACATCTGGGCGCATCTCACGCCACCTATTGGACGAGAAGCTACGACGTGAAAAGCTTCCCATTAATTACTGTGATTCAATCCGGATGAGCAAATATCTGGAGCGAAGCTTGAGGCATTGCTCTCATGTCGGTTGATTGTGAATGTGGTGTGCACTGTGCCGGGCCATGCAGATGGACCTGGGTGGCTGTGCATTTTGGTCCACCGTCCTCCGCCTTCACACTCGTTCCCCACCTCCTCGTCGGCCGCATCCAGCTTGTGTTGCTTTATTGGTGCCCTGTCGTGATGATACTTCGAACATCTTGCTGCTTGTTAGCTAATGCTATTCTGCACGCAGCAAGCACATTTATCCCGCATTGCCTGGACACAATTCAAGGATTTCAATTGCGAGCAATGCGAGAATTCTACATGACTACGGCGGTATTCGTGTTTCTGTACTTGGCTTGGCATGGAACGACGCTGACCATGATGGGGGCTAGTCTCGAAAAAATATGACCGGAAAAAGGCACATCTCTTCCATAACACGGTTCTTCGCAAGATGTCCCATGTCTGTTCAACTGGTATAAAGGGAGTCTTCCACCCGTCCTCAGGAAGCTTCTCCATTACTTAGCAAGACTACAGAAGCTCTCAACAAAACTCATCTTTTTGCTACAACCTACCTTCTCGAAATGAACATTTCCGATGCCACATTCCAACGTCTCGAGGCCGAGTTCAACGCCCCCTCCGTGCGCAATTTCACATCTGCCCTTCCCAATCGCCAGTGGATCGCAGATGCGGAAGCCCAGAAGCGGAACGGCGTCAATCCCTTCCCCCCAGGGGTAGTCGCATCTCGCCCCGTCTTCGACATTAAGAAGATGCGCGAACTTCTCGATATGAACAATTTTGAGCTCCGCGACAGCTTCTACGAGCTGTTCAAAAACCCGGTCTTCTTCCCGCGATACAATGAATCCCTCGCCGAGCAGAGGGCACGCACCATACAGAGGTGGCGCCTCATTGCAAAGACCGGCGTTTTTCACAAGACGCTGCAGAATTTTACGGCCGAGGGACGCCAGCGGTATGAAGCCACCCTTGAGTCTGTGGGTGCTATGGAGCACAGCATGGAGATTAAAATGGGGGTCCATTACGGACTTTTTGGAGGGACCGTCAGCATGATGGGTGACGACGAGCAGTCCGCAAAGTGGGCGCCCATGATCGAGAACTGCCAGATGCTCGGGTGCTTTGCCATGACGGAGCTAGGACATGGATCCAACGTCAAGGGCATCCAAACTAAGGCCGTCTACGATATCCCCTCCCAAACATTCATAGTCAACACACCCTGCGAAGAAGCCCAAAAGTACTGGATCGGTGGCGCCTTCCAATCGGCACGATGGACCGCCTTATTCGCACAGCTCTACGTCCAAGGTGTCTGCCACGGAGTGCATCCATTCCTAGTCCGCATTCGCAACGAAGATGGCACTACCGTCCCAGGTGTAACTATCGGCGACTGCGGCGCCAAAAACGGTCTCAACGGCGTAGATAACGGTCGCATGTGGTTTTCTAACGTGAGGGTTCCCCATGACCACCTTCTCCGCCGCCATTCGCAAGTGTCCCGTGACGGCACGTTCACCTCAAACTTCAAGTCTGCCGATGAGCGCTTCGGCGCCTCTCTCGCGTCGCTCTCTGGCGGACGCGTCAGCGTGTCCGCAGGGTCCCTCGTCCAAGCCAAGCTGGCCCTATCCATCGCGATCCGGTACGGCCTCTCGCGCAAGGCATTCGGGCCACCGGGGCAGGAGGAGACCCGACTGATGGACTACCCGGCGTACCAGGCGCGGCTGATCCCGCCGCTAGCGACGACGTTCGTGATGCAGCTAGTGCTAAACCATCTCAAAGCCAAGTGGGAACGAGGAGATCTCGGACGCGAACTGCACGTGTGGAGCTCCGGATTCAAGGCCCTCATCTCATGGCACTCACTGCAAACGCTGCAGGAGGCGCGCGAAGCGTGCGGCGGGCAGGGGTACAAATCGGAAAACCGGATTGGCCCGATGAAGACCTCGCACGACGTGGCCCTGACGTACGAGGGCGACAACCACGTCCTGCTGCAAGCGGTGACCAAGACGGTGTTTAGCGAGTTCATGAAGGGCATCCAGAGCGGGGGCAACTTTCGGGGGCACTTTGCGTATCTCAAGGACGCAGAGGGGCTGAAAAAGATGAACTTGTCAGGCATGGACCCGAGGTCTGCGGCATTCGCGCTGACGGTGATGCGGCGGCGCGAGGCAGCATTGTTCGCAATGCTGGCCGCCGATCTGCAGAAGCGGACAGCAGCGGGACTGACGCCGCTCAAAGCATTCAACCATTGCGCGGTGCTCGTGGAGGATGCCGGTCGAGCGCACGTGGAGCTACTGATGGTGGAGCTGTTCCATCATACGCTAAGCGATTTGCAACGACGCGGCGAGACGGAGCTGGCAGACATGCTGAGCCTTTGCGGGGCACTGCATACCGCGAGAACGGTGGATGAGCAGCCCGTGTTCTTGAGGTGCGGGGCGGTGTCGGTGGCTGAGGCACAGATGATGCACACGAATGTGGGGCGGTTTTGCGGGACGCTCAGACCCCACGTGCTGACACTGGTAGAGTCGTTTGGATACCCGCCGCATCTGCTAGCACCGATTGCTTTCGATTACGTTGCGCATAATAGCAAGGGGAGGCTGTAGGGCTTCGCGCATAGGCGAAGCACGGAAGGATAGAGGTAGATAGGCTTGTATACAAGTAGTGAATGAGACCCATATAAATACAGCTGCATAGTTGCTATCAAACTCGTCTCGGCTGTTTCGCCTCGCATGATCGAAAACTGCCCTCTTTTGCGCTTGCGCTCATAATATCGTATCTGATCCCGTCTTTCTGATTACACGTATACCGAGAGCATCCCACTGCTTGGTTTATAAACAGCAATCTTCATCAAGATGACCTTGCCTGCAATAGTTTTTGAGGCGTGATGGGTCGGTGCGAGAGGTCATGACAAAGGTGCCCACGCAGTAGAGGACAGCATTTAAGCGGCGTTCTGTACACTTGTCTGTTTTCAAGAACGGCTGCTCACGAAGAGCTATTTGACGAGTACACCGGCGAAGGCACCTGGAGGTCTTGAGAAGGTCTAACAACACGCCCACACCCGCCACCCCCGCCCCAATGCCATTCCCCTTTGCGCGAGAACCCTGTCCCGCCTGGGCACATTCTTCTTTGCGTTTTATTTATTTATTTTTGGCGGGGGGTGGGTGCAATACAGGGGGGGTCGCTCAATAGTGCCTACTTTAGTAGTGCTTCCCTCTATATAGTGCTACGGCTCACCCTCTGGCACAGGTTATCATAAGCTCATGGTTCAGTACTCAAAGGATGAAGTTATTTAGTTGTGTTATACAGGCTTTCTTGTGTTTGTGTTAGCAGTGTGCTTTGTCCCCAAATATATGTATTTGAGCCTCCTTTATATAGTGCCATCTCCCCAATAGTGCCATAGCTAGAGGTATGTCACGCTATAGCACTAGAGAGATTACGCCTGGGTATTTCTGCAATGATTTTTCCAAAATTCTGCAATACGTATTACAGGTGTAAATAGTTGCAGAATTCTGCAAATCACTCGTGACGTTAATTGCTGAATAGTGGGACCTTACAGAATACCCAACTGCAATTGACGTGAGCAATTCCACGGGCATGCGCGCCAAAATAGGTAGGACTCGCCGCCATCGTCAACCCCTCAGGGCATGAATCACCCACAAAATGAGTCACCAGCACCCCGATCCTCCCCCGATCCTCCCTCACCGCGCCATGGCTACAGTCATCATCGACACTCCGTCCAGCCCCAAGCCCACCGCCGATGCATCCAAGCCGGCCGCCGACACCACGCCTAGCAAGTCGAAGCCCGGCCGGCAGTCGCGCTTCTCGCCTAGCGAGGACCTCGTCGTTGTGCGTGAGGTCGCTGCGGCGAACGCACACGTCGCCACGTACGGCGAAACGCGAGCGCGCTTCGAGCAGGCCGCCGGACGCTGTAACTCCAACGCCGTCGTTGTCGCCCCGGTCACCTGGAAGAGCGTGCGCGACCGCTACAAGCGGATCCAGGAGCAGTTCGACAAGGCGGACAACGCGAACCAGAAGATGTCGGGGGTTGGGGGTGACGTTGGGGAGATGGATGAGCTGCTCATGGAAATGCGGCAGAAGAGGGACGACATAGCAGCAGAGAAGACGGCCGACAAAGACGCGCAACGCCAGCGCGACGCTGAGAAGGAACGTATCGGGAACGCGCTGATGGTAGTTGCCACGAAGCGAAAGTCGGAGGAGACGATGGAGGTCCACAGTGATAGTGATGGCGAAGTGGCGGTTGGTCGACCTGCGAAGAAGTCAAAGATGCGAGCCGTTAGCAACATACCTGTAAACGGCCTTGCTTCGTTTGGGGTCAACCTTCGCGATGCTGACCTCGCGCGAATTGCCCTGGAGCGCGAGCGTCTGACCTTCGAGCGCGAACGCGCGGATACCGATAGAATGGAGCGGCAGCAGGAGCGCGAGGAACGCGCGGAAGAGCGTACGAAAACGCAGGAGTTGGAGCTTGCTAAGTTTAAGCTCATGATGGAAACGATCGCGGCGGCTCTTAGCAAGAAGTAAACACTTCGTGACTTTTGGCTCTTTTGTGTTGTTCCTGTTGACTAATGCAAAACACAAAACTGGGTACCGAGTCCGCTGAAAGCTCGTCCCTCGCATTCGCTGGACTTGGTCCTCACTCCTCGTTCTCCCGCGCCTAATTGTCTTTGTGCTCCAGGTACTCCTGAAGGGAAGGGGGAGCACACTCGAAGTACTGGCTGATCTGGTTGGGGTATATGCAGTTGCACATGTTGAGGATGAGAAGCCTGGCCAGGTAGAGGGACCCTACAGGAGCTTGAAGAATCTTCATCTTGCGCTTGCAGTCCAACGTCGAGAAGTAGAGCTTTACCTCCTTGAAAATCCACTCGACAGTTATGCGGACTTTTGACATGGCCTTATTGAACGCTCGCTGCTGTGTTGACAGCGCACTGCCTTGATACGGAACTTCCAAGAACCACCTTCGGCTATATCCAGAATCACCATACAAGCAGTACTGCCTTCCCCCCATCTGCATCAAGATTCCCAATTCTTCGTCGATGCCACTTCGCACGTACAAAGTCCAGTCGTGCCTCCTTCCTTCAACAGGTCCAAACGCATGAAGGATCAATCCGTCAGGGCTATTCACAGCCTGGTACTTCAACCCGTGCTTACGCTTGTGTCCGTTGTAGGCAACCATTTGAGAGTCGTATCCAGTAGGTCTGGCAATTCCCAGTACGGTTCCATCTATAAAACCAACGCAGTTAGTTAAACCACTACTTTTATCGTGTATACGTGTCGCGTACTCTTGTATTCTACCTTGTACGAACACTGAATCCATTTTTCCAGTGAGCAGTTGTTGACGTTCTTCCAGGAGCTGCTCTATTCCTTCCCAAAAGATTTCAGAGAGCTGAGGAGCATGCTTGCCAAAGAAGACTCCGAGTTCTTTCCAACGAGATGGAGATGCTAACCGACGTAGTATGATGCAGGTGGACAGCATAGGGTAGACCCCATACCTCAAACGAGCTGTATGCATACGCGAATTAGGCCATGCAAACGCACTCATCATCCGAACGACGTCGCCTTTGGAAAGGCGGAAGAATAGCACGCTGTCCGCATCGCTCAGGCCGTTAAAATTGAAGGAGAATTCTGATGTGGCGATGCGGTTTCGCGCAAGCAGCTGCTTGCGAAACTCCTCCTCTTTCTGGTGAAACTGCTGCGCGATGATTGTGAGGGATGCTGTGCTTGCAAAGGCTGATGAAGGGTTCGTGCGGCGCCTTCTGGCAAGGAATGACAACACTGTCCCAAGCTGAAGTGCCCGCGCTTGCACTGCTCGCCTCGAAAAGTCGCGCTGCCTTCCCCTTTTCATGGTTGCTGCAGGTTGCTGCAGGAACAAGCAAGCCGCCCTCCCAGCAGTGTACCCTTAGTAATACTCATGATTCCATCACGGGACCGTCGGCGTAAATCAAAATTTGGGAATTTGTTTCTACGTTTCGGAAACACATTTCCGCAATTGCGGGGGTGATTTACTCACGAGTTATTTGCAGAATTGTTCCAGGCGTAATATCTGAACTATATCGTAGGAGGCACTGTACCGCGAAATCTGATAATCGTCTAGCGCTTTATTCGTAAAATGCATGCTGACAGGTTTCAGTACGAATTAGCTTTTTAGAAAGCTACATTATGTCAAAGAACTGGGCAGCACGAACACACCTGCTCTTTAGCGGTGCGCAGAGTTAATAAAATGAGCAGAGAGACTTACTTGTGTTGAATGGTTTTTGCAAAGCGGTTCTTAAGTTGGACACACTTGGGGTTGCAGGTTTAGTGGCTCTCAGGGTTAGTGAGTGGTTGTGCCTCGCCCCTTTTGCTTTCTCCATCCGAACGCCGCGCCTTTTATAGAAATCGTAGTTGAAGCTTAGAACAATGCAGTACCTGCTAGACTACAATAAACTATCCTTTCACTCTATAACTAATCTCCATACAATTGCTTATGTCCATGCCTTCAATTTCCCAGACCATCCTCTTTAATACTAGTGGATACTGTACTCCTCCTTTGACAATTCTTTCAGATATGGCATAGAAATTATATTGGAGTTCTATGCCATCCTCTTAAGAATGGAGGAGTCAGTACATTCGGGAAGGACACGCACCGTATGTTCACACGAAGTAAAATTAGAAAGACATACATACTGTGCTTCTCCTTCAACCGTTACAACTGCTCCCCCTTTACGATGATTATTCGTCCTCGAATAAGCTTGGCGGTGGGTAGTAGGTGATGGAGTCGAAGGAACGTTGAATAGTAGGCTTGTGGCTTGGAAGGTCTTGTTCATCAATCCATTCGTTTTGAAATACGTTTCCTGAGTTTTCTGATACTAAGAGTTCGATAGAGTCTTGAGTGCTGCAGTCGGAAATGATTTCAATTGTAGGCGGCGTCCCATCTTCGGTCTGAAATGTAGACTCGAGGCCGATAGTTCTTCTATTTTGATCATGTAGTATGGCTTGAGAAGGGATATGTGGAATGTAGGGTGAAGATTTTGATGTTTCTCTGGTAATTGCAATTTGTATGCGTTTCCCGATGCTAGGATTTCGATGACTTCGAATGGTCCAATATACTTCGGTGATACGTTTTTGCTTCTTCCAGTCTTGAGTGGTAAGTTCTTCGTAGAGAGCATTACTTGGTCCCCTAGGTGAAATGAATGATCTTTTCTATGTTTATTGACTTGTTCAGCGTTTCGTTCGTTCGACGCAGTGATGGACAGCTTTGCTATTTCATTGGCTCTTCTTATGTTCTCGAAACACCTTTGTGTGGTCACAGTAAGTGTTTCTGACCCGTCAGAGTGGAGGACGTCAGAAACAGAGTGTGGGTGTTGACTATACTCCACGAAAAAGGCGTTTGCTTAGTTGTGTCACTTATGTGATTGTTGTACACAAACTCGATTCCTGGTAGGTGTTTACTCCAGACTCTTTGCATATAGCTTACAAAGCAACGTAGCATTCCTTGCAATGTTCTGAGTGCCCTTTCTGATTTTCCATCAGTTTGAGGATAGAAGGCGGTTGATAAGTTTAACTTGACTCGTAGTAGCTTAAGCTACTACGAGTCAAGTTAAACTTA